ATTTTTTGAAAGCCTCTAAAAATATGTTTGGTTGGTTTGCTTTAAAGTCATTAAATTGTTTTACAGAAATAAAAACTTTATGCAAAAAGTCACCAATCAAATGCATGTGTTACATGGCATTTAAATTGTTTAAAAGTTGAAAAGCTGCAAGTGAAATAACATTTGTTTATGTTTAAATCATCGTTTATTTGATTTAGTTACATGTTTTTTTATCTTTTTTTTAGCTTTGTTATAGTTATCTTAATTGGTTTTTTATTTGTTATTATTTTCTTTTTTTGTTCAAGTTATTTAACTATATTGTTCATTATTAAAGAACAACCAAAAAAAATTAGGCTTAGTTACACTTTTTTGTTATTATTTTTTTTTTATTCTTTATAGTTGTAATAATAATTAATATTAAAAAAAGAGACGACCTATGTTACAAATAAAGTCTGGCCACTTAAAAGCATTTTCTAAACGGACATTCAAAGGTAACCAACACACACAAATAAAAACACAAGAAGAACCAGTTGAGACTCCTCCTTCTAACCTACCTGTTTCTTCAAATAAATCTGTCATATTTATCATCAGGTACAACATTACCTTTTATAATCACTAATGAAACCAGACCAATAGAGTTTGCATCATCTTCATTCACCAAAGAATGCAACCTTTCATTCAAGTAAAGAATATAAATGCAAAAGCAGTCGTGGTAGACCTGCTTGAGGTTTATGATTGTTTTGTTATTGCTAAGAGGGTTTAGAACCAGTTTAGAAAAAGTCTGTGGATGAAAAAAGTAATTGAAAAAGTGCTTTTTGATTACTCTTAAGCAAAAGATATTATAAGAATATAGAAGACATCAAATGTGCCCACGTACTCCTGATAGTTGTTGTAAATATCAGGCTGACAAAATAAATGGCATAGCAACATACAAACATAAGGGAAGAATTACGAATGGTTGTCCTTAAAGAAACAAAGCCTGTTTCTTTTAAGTTTAAGTAATGACAATTTATAAAAAATATCTTTATGGCAAAACTCAAAATACCTAATAAATAAATGAGTCACTAAATGGAATGATTTGGAACGGTTTTAAAAAGATATCTACGTTTGTAAAACCACTGTTGACCTAGGTGTAGCTTTTGCAGTTATTAATTTTAATGATAGTTCAACTGGAACTCTAAAGGTTTTAAAGGGCATAGATATTCCAGGATTTTATGCAAAAAAGTTCTTTGTTTCAAATAACAACCAAAGAGTAATGTCAATGGAAACCGAAAAAAGCATATTCAAAGAGTTTATAAAAGATTTTATAAATACTAATCAATCATAAGAAATGAAGTATGGTTATGGTTTATATTAGAGAGATTTTTTATTATCTGTTGTTTACGGTGATCAATCATCAAAATCTTTTTTTTTTTGAATATTTAAAAGAAGATTCGTGATATTTTAGTATATTATTACTTAAATAGCATTCATCTCAAAATTAAATTTTTTAAACGGTGCGTCATATATCTTTTGATTGATTTGATTGATTTACTCTTGAAATTTTATATGGTGGTTATTTTTTATAAGATACAGGTTTAGAACCAACATTTTTTGAAAAAATACTTTTCGGTCCAGAGTTACCCAAGCCCAAAGTTTTATTTTTAAGCCTTTTTATAAGCAAGGTATTTGAATTTTATTTATCTTAGATCTAGTTATGCAATCAGGCTAATTCTGCTCCCATACCTGTAAAATTGTACTATAAACATACTGTAAAAATTTTGTAATCATTCTACAAGTGGTTTTCTCTGAATTTGATGCACCGCAAAGTGACCATTTTGAGACCTTTGGACCCAAAAGAAGGTTTTCTGTAATTTTTTTTCCTTTTTTTTTTTTTATAAGAAGACATAGTTACCTGTATATAATTGTTGTACCAAAATATTAAATTTCATTAGTAAGAAATAAAGAGTTTAGATTTTTCTTCCAAGTACCACCTTAAAGACATCATTTACTTAACTGAATTTTATTATATTATTTTATAAACATCTTTTACAAAACAGAAAGTTTTTACTACTTATTATATACACTTTTTACATAATAAAAACTTTAACTGCGTATTATATCCTCGAGGTTCTAGTTTGGTTAGTACTGTCCCAAGTAATATTTGCACGGTTAATATGGCAGTGAATAAGTAAATAATACAGTTGCATTTAAGTGCCCATGTTTAAATAGCTTTTTGATTTGTATAATATTTCAACACTTTTTGAAACATTACTGCTTAACATTTCCATGTGCATTCTCCATGTAAGATCAATATTTATTCCATCAATATATGTAGTTTTTAATCTTTTTACTTAAATATTATCAATGAATATAAATGGCGTTTTGTATAGTATTAGTTTTTTAAATGGATTTACTTGATTTCATTTTACCCATTTTTCACATAATTTCATGTTTTTAAGTTTAATTTTAGACATCTTTTACAAAAATAGCAGGAGCGGATCCAGGGTGAAGCAAGTGAAGCAACTGCTACAGTCTACTAGGACTACATTTACTATTATTTTCCACACACACACACACACACACACACACACACACACACACACACACACACACACACACACACACACACATATACCCAGCCGGCACAAGACGTGTCCAATACGTATTCTACTTGTCTTATTTTCGTATTATACAAATAATACGCGTTGTATACGTTTTAAACACGTATACCTGTATACTAAATAGCATCTAAATAAACTGTTTGAGAAGTACTTTCAATACGAGGTACTTTCAATAAGAGGCTTTCAGTTTCCGCGTCGTTAAACCAAATCGAGCACGTTTTATGTAGGTTATTGATTTTATGTACTTGTAAAGAAATGGCGTATTATCGTAAATACAGAAGATTAAATGCTGAACTTAAGAAAATCGTTAAAGAGGAGGATAGTTTTAGTTCTAATGAAGATAACTTTTTGGTTACTGATACTTTATGTGTCAAAAATGTAGTTTCAGTTTGCACTAATGACGTGACTAGTAAAAATATCGATTTAGGTGTGCTCTCTGAGTCAGACAGCACGTCAAAATCCATATCGTTAGAGTCTGACCGAAGTTATGATGAATGTGATTTTAATACTGTTCCAGCAATGCATCCTACATTAGACGATGATAGTGGTCACAGTGATAATGGAGATAAAGATATCACTTATGGTCTAGTTAGCTTATCATGTAAACACAATTTATCAAGATCTTGCATGGACGATTTACTCAAACTTTTAAGGGAAAGTGGACATTGCTATTTGCCAAAAGATTCACGTACATTACTTAAAACTCCTAGAGAAATTGATTATAAACAAAAATGTGGCGGAGAATATATTTATTTTGGTATAGAATGTTCAGTATTAAAGCAGTTAGTTTTTCTTCCGAGTTTTTATTTAAACAACGATTCTATAAACCTATATATTAACATTGATGGACTTCCTTTATTCAAATCATCAAAAGTTCAGCTTTGGCCTATTTTGGGTAAATTTGATGGTTCAAATGTTTTTACTATTGCTTTATATTCTGGAACAAGCAAACCTAATTGTGTTACAGATTATCTTGATGATTTTATAAAGGAAATAAATATTTTGAAAATTGATGGTATTCATTTTAATGATAAAATTTATGCTGTAAAACTTAAAGCTTTTATATGTGATGCACCTGCACGATCCTTTCTTAAGTGTATAATTGGTCATACAGGTTATAATGCATGTGAGCGATGTCAAGTAAAAGGTTCTCGTGATAGTAACAGAACTGTTTATAATGATGATATTACTTATCCGCTTCGTATAAAGGAAGAGTTTAATCAATTTCTGTATATAAATAGCCATCAAGTGCAACTATCACCATTAGTTAAAATAGATGATTTTGACTGCATCAAAGATTTCATATTAGATTATATGCATTTAGTGTGCCTTGGAATTACAAAAAAAATATTAATCTTTCTAAAATCTGGTCCTAGGATATGCAAATTATCAAACTCACAGGTATTAGAAATATCTGCTAAACTTATTTCTTATAACGGTAAACTTCCTTCAGATTTTGCAAGGCAACCACGATCTTTAGAAGATTTATTAATTTGGAAGGCAACAGAATTTAGGGAGTTTTTACTTTATTTAGGTGCTATTGTTTTAAAGGGCATTGTTTCAGATGCAATATATGAACATTTTTTGACATTTAGCATTGCAATGCGTATTTTATTGTCTGAAAATGATGAATTTCGTAATTACTATCTTGATTATACTTACAATTTATTAGTATATTTTTGCAGAAAAGCCAAATTTTTATACGGAAATACGTTTTGTGTATACAATGTTCATTGTATTATACATGTTCATGATGATGTAAAAAATTTTGGGTGTTCTTTAAATAAGTTGTCTTCATTTCCTTTCGAAAATTATATGCAAACATTAAAGAAGTATATAAAAAACTCCAAAAGTCCTATTGTGCAAATAGCAAAACAGCTTTCTGAGTTGGAGAATTTACATTTTATGAAAAATACAAAAACCCTGGTCAATAAAGTTAGTATTCGTTTTCGTGACTCTTTATTTTTATTAGAAGACAGCACTTTCTGTTTTGTTAAAGAGATAGATGGAGAAAATTGTATATGTGATACCTTTAAGAATGATCAACTTGTATCCTTGTATAAAAGTCCTATTGATTCTAAGGAATTAAATGTTGGTATAATAGATATGAAAAAGATTCGTTTTTGTTAAAAAATGTTATGTAAGTCAAAACTTATCAGAAAAGCTGTTGTGTTACCTTATAAAAATGGTTTTATTTGTATGTCATTAGTTCATGAATTTATTTGATTTTATTTACAAGTGATCTTTGTATAAAATAAGACTAATATTTGTAAACATAATATTTTTGTTTATTTAATTGCAGATTTTTTAAAATATACAACGTTTAACATAAAAATTGATTATATTAATTACTCCTTTAGTTTTCTCAATTTTAATTTTTGTGTTAAAAATTTTTTTTGTCATAAAAAAGATTAAGGTGATATTGATCCTACAATGGGGCATAGCAGAAAACTGAAAAATTACTTTTCTCTAATTCAATGATCTACTAATTAGTCAAATATAAAAACAAAATCTTTGATAATTATTTTTATATTAGCCTTGGTTAAGTTAAATATGGCAAGCAAAACTGTTAAAAATAAGTTACTTTGGACAAGAGTTGTGTGGGAAGAAAAAGTTGGTTCACAATTTGAAGATGTAATTCCAGCCCATTGGGTAAATGAAAATAAGTGCGTGGTATTTTGGTCGTCAACTATGTCAGCCCAAAGAGCCATTTTGGAACAAATTAGCGTTGACAAAACATGGAGAAAGTTTAAATGGATTAAAACTAAAATTGTGGATGGTAAGTGGTTTGCTTGTATTATTTTAATCTATATTTGTAATATATCTGGTTATAGTATATCGGTAATGTTTTTTTTAGAAGATAAACAGCTATGTCTTGATTATAATTTTACTTCTGGAGCAGAGCAATGTAGCTCAGAGGAGGAAATTGGTTTGGAAAATGCTGCAGGTTATAAATTTTTATATTAATAGCTCAATTCTATTATGCTGTTTTTAATTTATATGTTTATAACTATAAAATATTTTTATGACATTTTATTAGGAATCATTACTAGTGTCGAACCCGAACTTCCTAAACCGCCAATAATCACTTTCAAGGAAAATAAAAGTATTATTTTTCTTTTAATTATGTATTTAATCATATCTTTATTATTAATGCAAGTTTTAATTCTATATAAAAAAGAAGTTGTTTTTTCAACAAATATTGAAAGTTTGTTTATAAAAAGCTTAATTCAAGATTTACCAATAGTTGTCAAAAGTAAAATCATGAAATATTTGTTCTGACATAATAATTTTTAATGTTCATATATTTATTTTATTATATATGCTTTTATTAGAATCTCACGTTGTAGATTTTCATACCAATCATACAGAGTCTAGAGTATCAGTAAAAACAAAAAGACATACAAGTCCCTTTGAATTTACAACAGGAACGTCAATTAAAAGATCTAGTATGAATGTTTGAAAATATATAATATTGAATGTAGAAATAGTTGTTAGATGTGCTAAGATTTCAAATTGCCTAATATTTTTCCTTCATAATATTATTTATAATTTAAATCAAATGTATATTTAAATCAGTTCAAAACAGAAACCCATCTAAATTATTATTTCTTTAGAAAATGAAGCAAAAGACTTGCCAATTGCTAAGGAAGGTGATTTTAGTTTTCTCTTTTGCAAAATATATTAAATTTATGTTTGTTTTTATTAAATTTTTTCTTTCTTAAATTCATTTCAAGTGTTATCTCTATATTAAAGGTAACTTTAAAATAATTTTTTTTTTTACATTTGAATTTTATGCAATGGAATAAACACTGGTATATATAGCTATAGCACAGCTATATCATCTGGTATATATAGCTATAGCACAGCTATACCATCAGTAAAAATTGCCACACTGTAATAGAATTTTAATAAATCACTTTAATTTTTATGTATACTTAATCAAGATACCCATCAGTAATATTGTTAAATATGTTACTTAATATTAGTTACAATACTCTTTAATATCTTTATCAAAGTTGTCAGTAAATTTATTGAGCGATTTATTAAAAGTTTTAAAATGTTATTATTTATAGAAATTATTAACTTTGTGGCTTCAAAAGACAACAAAGATGAATTTTCTATGTCTGAAGAAAGTAAGTTAAATGTTTTTATTAGTTATTGGGCCATTTTAGTTAAATAGCTAAATATTTTCTCATATCATTTAGAATATCGAAAGCAATCCCTAAAGTTGTTAATAGAAATTAGAGATGGGATTAACCGATTATTAAACACACCGAGTGTCAGTGGAGCTATCAATATAGTTAAAGTTAATGACATTTCAGAACTATATGCTGCAAATGATGAATTGAAAGATGCAGCAGTAAGGAGAAATGCTGTAAGTTAATATATTGGTTTGAAACCTAGGCATGAAGTGCAAAAAGAAAATATAATTAAAGTGAAGTAACCTACTAAATATCTAGTTAAGCTTATTCTTCTTGTTACTTAGTAATCTAGCTGTGTCAAAACAGGACCATTCAAGTTATGTGACACTTTATTTTTTAGGTCCCCCGCGCATTATGTTGAAGTTTTTAGTAATACTAGTTTTTGGTTAATTCTCTAACTTTATATACATTTTTTATTGTAACATTTGTTATATCTGTTTATAGATAGAAATGTTAAAATGTGTAGGGGGAAATGATTGTGGCGAAATGGTGCGCAATATTTTAGACAGGTATGTTATAATGTTGTATTTAAAATAAATAACTCAATTTATATATTTGAAAATTTCTGTTTCATAAATCTATTTAATAAAAGTTTATTTTAAAAAATGTGTTTAAGGTTATTTAGCATTTCTGTAATGTCGAAAATGAACATGAAAGGGTCATCTAGACAAGGGGAAGCAAAGATAGCATTTAAGAATTTAGAATTCTTTAGTTTGATTCAAGGTAAGAAAGTTAATTTATTATTTTTTTGCATAACAAAGAATAATATTTAATGTAATATGGTAAACTATTATTTATTTTTTTTCCAAATTAATAGCTGAAAATCAAATTATTTATGTTTTAGAGGTAGTCACCAGGCAATTCAATAACGTTTCAACAAAAGCACTTACAGCAGCTATAGGAAATAAGCTAAAAAATGCCCCTGGACAACTAAAACGCGACCAAGCATCAAGTTGAAAATGTTGTATTGTGATTGAATTAAATATTGATTTGATATATTAAGTTGTTTTTAATAAATCAAAACTTCTTTGCTCTTAAAATAACATATATATTTTTGTTTACAATAATTTCGCATTAAAAGCATCTAATAATTTGAAATTGAAATTATTATTTTAAATTAACAGATATAAGTATTTTAGATAAATGTAAAATTAGATAAATAGTAAAATTACATAAAAAGTAAAATTAGATAAACAATTATTTATCTAATTTTACTTTTTTAAAAAAATATAATATTTAAAGATTATGTTCTTTTTAAAAAGTAAAATGAATAAAAAAATACGACACAAAAAAAGATTTTTAAGTTATCTTGCAAAGGTATTATTCACGTCTTGATCGCAAATCTTAAATACGTGATTTTATATACGAGTTTAAAACATATATAAAAAACGCATCATAAGCGTATGTGAAATACGTCTTAAATTCATATTTAATAACACGTATTAAAAGTTTGCGTTTAAGACAAATTCAAGACAGTTTAAATACGTATTAAAGTATTTTAAAATACGTATATAAAACGTATTATATACGTATTTGTGCCGGCTGGGTATATATATATATATATATATATATATATATATATATATATATATATATATATATATATATATATATATATATATATATATATATACACCTTGTACAGAAAGTTTAAACGCAGTTGTTTTTTTGACCTATATAATACTTTTAAGAAATGATAACCCGATAAAATAATGAGATAGGCTATGTATTTTTATGTTTATTTATACTATGGCTATAAGCTATTAGTTTAGATAGAAAAGAAATTGTATGGATATTATAACGGAGGTGAAGAGTGATGAGAAAATTAACGTAGCAATTAACTCCTTTTAATTTTTTGAAATAAAATTTAAATGCCCTTTGATAAGAAAACGCGTAAAATTTCGTTTATTGAGAGACTTTTTATTGAAGTCTTTTTAATTTTTAACACTCAACAGCCTGTCAACAATAGTATATTATATTTGGATTCTTATTCTTATTTTATTTTGAATAAAAACCACAAATACGATTTGATTTAAAATATATCAGTTTTCAACTGATACAGCTTTGTCAAAATATCATATTTTAATGGGTAAAAAAGCTGTTTCGTCGAAAACAAAATGGCAAGTTATAGGAATGCATAAAATGAAAATAAGCAATAGATAAAGAATGCAGCGTTCGTACAACAATAAAAAATTATTTATCAACTGGTAGTGTCAATGATAAACCTCGTACTGGGCGTCCGAAAAAACTGACAGCGCGCGATGGAAACATGCTTTACAAGCTAAGCAGACGTAACCCAAAAACGTGAGTATCAACTTTAAGTGCAGAAATCAATAGTTCGCTAGTAGACAAAACAGTTAGTCGAATGACTATAAGTCAGTTATTACGCAAGAAAGAATTAAATTCGTTTTATTGCGTAAGAAAGCCTTTGTTGACGTTAACTGATCGCCAAAGACGAAAAAAATGGTGCAAAGAACGTTTAAATTATTCATTAGAACAATGGAAAATGATTATCCTTAGCAATGAATCAAATTTCGAAATTATTAACAGAAAAAACAAGAGATTTGTTCGTCGCAAAAATACAGAAAATTTTTTGAAGCAACATCTACTAAGCCGTATTCAAAAAGGTGGTGGTTTCGTCGGCATATGGCGATGTATATCAGGCTCAGGCGTTGGCTGTCATAAAACATACGAAGGAAGATTAAATCAGTATGAGTATCGTGACATTTTGGAAAACGCGCTTATCCCTAGTCGCGGTTTGTTCCAGGCTGATCAAAACTGGTTATTTCAACAAGACAATGCTCCATGCCATACAGCGCATTCAATCACTGATTATTTCCTTAAAAGTAATATTCAACTTATGCCTTGGCCAGCACGATCACCAGACTTAAACCCGATTAAAAATTTATGGAGCTGGATGGATTATCAACTAACAAAAAAGCAAATATCTAGTCATGAAATTCTCAAACAAGAACTGACCAAACTGAGGCTTGAAATACCAATCAAGATGATTGAAAACTTAATCGAATCAATGCCAAGGCGAAAATAAGCATATATTAAAAACAACGGGGGTCATTTTCCATATTAATATATTTCGATTAAAAGAAGATGTTGGTGCGTTTAAACTTTATTGCACTTTCTTCTAAGTAATCTTTTGATTACTTGAGTTTGTTCTTTAATTTCAGAAGAGATTTTGTGTTTTTCTTATTCAAAGTTGTGTTTTTTTCTTAATCAATAATTGGCTAAGAATATTAAAAAAAAAAACCTGGACCCTGCCTCGTGTTTACTTTTTGTATCGCTTTAAACATACCTAAACTTCTAAAAAACAAGTGCGTTTAAACTTTTTGTACAAGGTGTCAATATATATATATATATATATATATATATATATATATATATATATATATATATATATATATATATATATATATATTTTATATATATATATATATATATATATATATATATATATATATATATATATATATATATATATATATATATATATATATACACACATATATATACATACATATATATATATATATATAAATATATAAATATATATATATATATGTATATATATATATATATATATATATATATATATATATATATATATATATATATAAATATATATATTTATATATATATATATATATATATATATATATATATATATATATATATATATATATATATATATATATATATATATATATATATATATATATGTATACACACACACATATATATATATATATATATATATATATATATATATATATATATATATATATATATATATATATATATATATAGCCACTGCAATGCTATTTATATAATGCTATATATATAATGCTATATATATATTTATTTTTGTGTATGAATATAATTTTAATCTTATGTCCAAAACTCCTCAAGATGGCAATTGTTTTTTTTCTGCTCTCTCTATTGCTTTAATTGGAAAAAGTACACTAGCACCAACTCTTAGGGAACTTTGTGCAATTGAATTGTACAAGAACGCAAATTTTTTTGCTGTGCATCCTGTTTTTTGTCTTGGGCATTCAAGTGGTGTTTTTCAATCAGAAAGATCTGCTTTTTTGGTAGGTATGTCTAATATTGCATATACTGCATTTGAGGCTAAGAAGTCTAAAGTTGATGCTATTTTGGCTGAAGCATTAAATATTTCTCAATCTAGTGTTTGGTCATCTTTAGTTTGTGTGATCTCAAATATCTCAAAGTCAAAGTATATTCTTATTTGTATAATATAACATTTAAACTGATTTGAGTTTTATTGTTTTGTATTATGAATATTATTGTCTATATTTTTATTTTCTATTTTAGATTCCTTTAAAAATTTTTTATCCTACTACAGGAGATGCCTGTCTAGAATATCTATTTAGAAGTACATTGTACCTACAGTCTTTTAATAAACTTGATAAACCCAATCAAATAACTTACTTTATGCTGTACAAAGTTGACACAAAGAAAGAAAATCTAAGCAACCTTACACATATGAGGAAAATGCATTTTTTCAAACCTAATCACTATGTGCCTCTGGTATCTGTTAAAAGCACTCAGCCAGAACTTCGAAATCTTTTAGTTCGTAATCAAACAAGTTCAAATTCTGCAAAAAATATTGATGTAACTGGAGAAAAACGCACTTCAAATACCCAACTTGTTCAAACACCCCACTGTTCTGCTGTTTAAAAAAGAAATTTGACCATATCCTCATCGAATATTAATAATTTTTTTTCTGTGAACAATAAATCATTGTCTGTGTCTGATTCATCTTTGGAAGTAAATAATAAATTAAAAAAATCGATATTAGGTGTCATAGTTCCGAGACTACATGTAAATTATGAAAAGACAATAACAGAAGATGAATGTAACAAATTTGATATTGGGTTGTTTGTAGACAAAGTGGAAAAATTATCAAAGCATGAGAAGTATAATCTTCTATTGAACGTATGGATGCCACCTTCTGAATGTATATTTCCTAAATCTAATGGTCGTAAATGTAACCCTGTTTGGTTCAAAAAATTTTCATGGTTGTGTTATTTAAAATACTTTGATGGGTTGTTCTGTATCTCTTGTGTTCTATTTGGAAAAGCCTCTTTACCTACTCAATTATTTCAGAAATTTTTATATCGGCTTTGGTCAGTTAGAAATGTAAAAATATGATCACATAATAACACTTCTCCAATGCATAAAATCTCAATACAGATAATGCTTGGTTTTTAAGCAGTAATGAGTAATAAAGTTGTTCCAATTAATTTGCAACTCAATAAGTTTCAATCTGATATTATTTCTAGAAATTGACAAATTTTGTTTTCAATATCACGTGCAATTTTTTTTTCCATTTTAGCTGATGAAACTTCAGATGTTAGCCAAACAGAAAAAATGACTGTAATTGCTCGATATGTGGATGAATGCTGTAAAGTAAAGGAAGATTTTCTAAAATTTGTTTCTTGCAACTCTGGCTTGAGTGGAGTTCCTTTATCAACCAAGATCAAAAAAAGTATGTATAAACTTGGTTTGGAAATGTCTTATTGTCGTGGGCAAGGTTATGATGGGGCTGGTAACATGGCAGGGTATCTTCGTGGTGTAGCAGCATTAATTTTAAATAATTTTTCTAAAGCTCCATACATCCACTGCTTTTCCCATCAACTTAATCTATGTGTTGCCAAAGCATGTGCAATTCCTTCGAATCGAGATATGATGGATCATGTTCGAATTGCCTCTGATTTTTTTAATAATTCTTAAAAAAGGTTAGAAGATCTATCTACAAAAATTAGTGAGCTATGTCCAACATCATCTTTTCAAAAAACAATCAATGTTTGTAGAACCAGGATGTGAAGGAAGATGTGACATGGACTATATAACATAGACTACAAATCTAGAGGTGATGCTTCTGCATATGTGGCAATATGTTGTTCTTTTAAGTTTACTATCACCTTAATCATAGTTATGAAGTTATTAGGCTATATAAGACCACTGACTAAAACTTTGCAAAAAGTTGATCAAGACTTCTCAAAAGCTCGTAAAGATGTGGAAAATTTAAAGAATACTCTTATATGTCTTCGGACCTCTATGGATATTTCATACACAGAATAGTACAAAGAAGCTGTTAGCATAGCTGCAACTACTGGTGCAATGCCACCCAAACCAAGAACATGTGGTCAACAAATACAACGTGATAACCATGAAGTAGATGATATAGGTGAATATTATCGAGTAACTTGTTCAATTCCATTTCTTGATCACATTCTGATACAGCTAGATTCTTTATTTTCTTTAAACAATTTAGTATTGCTAGTTTCTACATTATACCATCAAATTTAATTTTTGACAAGGAGTGGAGGAAAAAAGTAAAAGAATTTGTTCATACATACCAAAACGATATACCGGAACCAAACTATCATTATGCTGAGTTAGATATGTGGGAAGATTATTGGAAAAATCACTCTGATAGAGCTTCTAATACAATTTCAGATTTGCTACAAAAATGTGATGACTATATATTTCCCAATATTTCCACTATACTTTCAATCCTTTGCACATTACCAGTCACAACATTTACATGCGAAAGATCATTATCAGCTCTAAAAAGAATTAAAACTTCCTTTCGAAATACTATGGGGGGTGGTCGTTTAAATGGTGTTGCCATTTTGCTCATTCATCGAGATATTGAAATTGACTTGAATATTGTTGTAGATAAATTTGCGACTGCATTTCCACGAAAAATGGAAATTAAAAATGAACTCAGATGAATAGATACATTTATTCCTTTAAAGTTATACTGATTACATATATATATATACATACTATCATGAATACTTTGACTATATTTGTTCTATTTATCTTTTAAGGTTTTGTTAAAATAGTTAAAAAGTTTTGAGTTTTTTTATTTTTTATGATTTTTCTTTTCTTAATATTTATTGAGTTCTACCTTTGCCATAATTTTATTTTAGTTGCCTACTGTTGAAATATGGTTTGAATTTAGTAAATTTTCATGATTTGAACTTTACTTTATTGATCATTAGCCAACAGTTTAGGATGTTAAATACAATTAAGGTTTTTATTTTTTATGAATTTTTTTTTCCTAATATTTATTGAGTTCTACCTTTGCCATTATTTTGTTTTAGTTACCTACTGTTGAAATATGGTTTGAATTTAGTAAATTTTCATGATTTGAACTTTACTTTATTGATCATTAGACAACAGTTTAGGATGTTGAATACAATTAAGGTAAGAATAAATTTTTTACGGTTAAAATATTGCAGTGCGTTTTTTTTCCTCAAACGCACCGGAACGCCGTTTACCTTTTTTAAAAAAAATTTAAAGTGTTACCTTTGTCGTCATTTTTTGTGATATGCTAATGATGAATTCCAGATGAGTTCCGATACCTTTTTTTAAGAAAAAAAGCACTGCTTTATTGTTTTTATCATTAATAATAACAATGACCTCGTAATAAACGTGTTTTTTATCACAGGAACTACTTTTCATCAGTTCTTCTTTTTTACAACTGCTCTGATGTTATTTTCTATACTATTAACTTTTATAGGTATCAAAAAAAAAATTTCATTGTTTATTCTTTTTAATGTAATTCATCAGTAGACTGGTCGATTGTCCAGTTTTTTATGAAAATGAGTTATGTATGAGACCTTTTTAGTTTTTTCAGTATCTACACAGAGGTAAAAAGATTGTTGTCCTACGACAATGTGAAACAAAGTTTTTTTTATATATATTTTTTACTTTCAAGTCCACTTCAAAAATGTTGCCTAATAAAATATTTTTTTAAATATATATTTTAATGATTTCTTTTATTTACGCTAAACTAAAGTTTATTTCGCGTCCTTGGTTTTAAATATTCTTTTAACGATTTCATTTATTTGATATATGGACTAATTATTTTACGATTTCCTCTCTCCTGAACAATTTTCTAAAACGTGACAACCGACCTTTGACTTCTGAGGTACAGAATTATAAGTTAGGTTTTTGGTGCCTCTGAAATTTTTGAACTGATTTTTTTTTTTTTTTTACGCTGTTACTACAGCCCAGTATTTAAAAATTTATCTACTGGGAGGCATTACAGAATTGCCTGTGGGCCTAATAAAACAACCCAAAAAATATTCATCAAATGAAAAAATTACAAATCTACTTATGTCAATTATTTTCTAGATCTGCAGGCAAGAACTATACACAAGTAGGCCTTGTCTACCTGTATCACTACCAGTTACATTTTTACACTATCGCTTTTTTAACGATTTAAGTAAAATCGATAAAACGTTTAAATATTAGTTGAAACATTTTTGAAGGTTTAAAAATTGAAAAGATTTTAAATTAAAAATTTGTAATAATTTTGTTTTGTAAAAAAAAGAAAATGTTTAAGTATAAACCACTAAAGCATCTTTCTATATTGAACATCCCAAGTAAGGACGAGGGAAAACCGTTAGTTATCAAAAAGGTTAAAAGAGGCAATGTATATTTATAAAGTTAAAAACGCTTGAATATCAAAATAAAAATAATGATTGTGTTGATTGTGCTTTGATGTTTTAATAATCATGAAAAATTTTAATTAAGTTATATAACTTCACAATAGGAATGTTTGGTCGCATACATTGGATCAACATTGGGTTTAATTCAAAAAAACAATCAACTTTTTGCTATGTATTTACATACATTGGATCAACGTTTATTTATATACATTGAGTCAACGTCGAAATATATACATTGAATCAACGTTGGATTTAAATCGTAAAAACAATCAACATTTTGCAATGTTTTTACATATATTGGAAAAACGTTGACTGATATACATTGAGTCAATGTCGAGATATATACATTAGATCAACGTTGGGTTTAGATAGTAAAAAAAAATCATTTATTTTTGATGTTTTTACATACATTGGAAAAACGTTGAATTATATAAATTGAATCAACGTCGAAATATATGCATTGGATCAAAATAGGGTTTAAATCGTCAAAACAATCAATTTTTTGCAATGTTTTTACAGACATTGAACCAATGTAGTTTTGTTAGATGTTTTGAGTTCCGTCGGTAATAACTTTATCATTAACTAAATAACATTGGATCAATGTTGGTTTTGCATTGGAAAAAAAAACCGACGTTCGCGATGGCTCTTTTTTCCATTGCAGAAATCAGGAATACAGTTATTGTTATTTTGACAACTTTAATTTTACAATGTAAGTGTGCTAACTGGGTGGTTAAATTAGGTTTTTATAATATAAACAGTTAAATAAAGTCCTTCAAGTAGGCAGGTCTGTTTTCGGTCCTTGACGATCTTTGCTTGTCAGGTTGCGGTTCAGTCAATTTGGCGGTGCTTCGGGTGGCAAATCAAGTTGTTTATGCTGATATACAAATGGTTGCTCATTGGTTTTATTCAAATATTTACAAGAACGTAGATATACTTTTTAACACTCATCTACCACGTTGTATGATCTAATTAATAATAGTTTTTTTTATAACTGTCACTTTTTTCCATGTCTCCATTTTTTTTTCTTATCTGACCGGTGTTGTTAGGTACGAGATTTAGAAGTTCAGGTTTGACCATTTCTGGACCTGGTAATCTAATTTAAAAGAACTAATGGTATAAGTAAGAAATGATAGACAGGTAGGGTTGTTCGCGTTCTTTTGTTCTTGAGAAGTTGGAACGAGGAGTTGTCCAGCATATAATCAAGACCCAGCTGAACATGCTGGGCAATTCTTTTGTTTTTTATATTACTGAGACCATTTGTTTAGGGTAATTAGGGCTTAATGGAGTGAAGTGGAACTCATATTCTTTTAAGAGATTAAGAAGTACTGCACTGTTGTTAATTTTTGTTAAATTTGATTCCATTACAGAGAGAGACGTTTTGTCAGGAATGACACTGTTCTTTATAAATAAGAAAATAGTCTATAACAATTACACAGATCTTTCCATTCAACTCAAATATGTCTGATCCTACTTTACTTCATGTAAAGTCAGGAATGTTGCGTTAAATGATTTTTTTCTTTTTGTTGTTATTACGCTTTTCAAGGCATTTTTGGCAATTTAGTATCAGTTTATCAATGTCGCTTGTAAGTCTTGGCCAGAAAACAGCGTCTCTAGCTCTAGCTTTTGTCTTTTCGGTTCCGAGGTGTGGTAAGTAAAGTCTTAGAATAAAGGTCTTGTAGCTGTTGGTATGACTTTTTTATTTTAGAATTATTCTCTCTGTTAGTTGTAAGTTGTTTTTGATGATCCAATATTTTTTTTTTCACAGCAAAGCATTTTTCGGTTATGAGGTCAACCATGAGTTATGTAGTTTATTACTTGAGAGATTTGCAGTCCTCTTTTTTATTATTCACATCTTTTACATAAAAGGATGATATTACTTTATATTACACACTTTTTTATTTAACTGGTTGTTATCACTTTTTGTTATATACTTTTTTTACACAACTTGATATTGTTTTATTTCATTGTAGAAATTCTTTATTTAACTGGATGGATATATATTTACCCGACGGGCATTTGTTTTTAAAAGTTACGATCTAAATGTGTTTTAAACGTCTTTTAAACGTCTTTTAAACGTTAATGTTTAAAAGACGTTTAAAAGACATTTAAAATACATTTAGATCGTAACTTTTAAAAACAAATGCCCGTCGGGTAAGTACACAATAACTGAATGCTATTAAATTCTATTAAACACATTTTTTATATATCAGGATGTTGTTTTAATTATTCCCATCTATTACGGGCTGTCAATCAATTATATCAACAAAGTAGTTGGGCGGAGGAGGTATGGAAATTTTTAACTACTTACAACAAAGGGGAGGGTGTGAAGTCAAGAAAGGTTGACATGAACAACGTTAATTTATATAATAAATTTAGTTAATTTAAATTAGATAAATCAGGCAGTGTTTGTAGTTTTGCGTTATACACTCGATCTTTAGTATTTTGATAAAACAAACTATTTTCCTATATTTTAAAAACCGTGTTGCGCTTTAAAAAGACTTTACACATACAAAACTAAATAAACACACACAATTTTTACTTGTAACAAAATATTTTTTTTCAAAGTTTTTGTTTGGTTATTATTTACTTGTAATAAAATACTTTTTTTTACTTCTAACAACATGTTTTACTTGTAACACTTTTTTTACTTGTAACAAAAATCACACATTTTTTACTTGTAACAAAATACTTTTTTTCAAAGTTTTGGTTGGTTTGCTGTGAAAACAATTACAGAGTTGTGTAAGTACACAGCCTTCATTATATTATGTAAGTATTTATACCATGGGTCGGTAACCTGTTGCTTGCAAGCCGAATTTGACTCATTCAATATTAAGAAACGGCCCAAATTTATAATAATAAAATAAAAATATTAGTAGCTCATCGTCTTGAAAGATTGCTGACCCTAGTTTATTCCAATTTTTAAATGCAATATTTTTTTCTACTTGACTCTATTAAAAATAATTTGCTTTCTTTGTGAAATTGAATTAGGTTAAAAGAAAATTGAGAAGGGTTGGCACGTTCACGAATTGTGACACTGCACTGTTCATAAATTATGATAAATATTTCATAAATTATGATAAATATTTATTATTTTCTAGGACTAGAGGTGTAAACGGGTACCCGGAAACCATCCTGTTAATAGAAAAAATAAATTTCATTTATTTACAAAAAATACAAAAAATTAAAAACCACCCATTTATTTAATATAGGTATTTTTTATATTATTTTTCAGGTTATATTTGTTTACAGATTCCCACCGTTTTGTTGAACAC